CTGATCTCATAGCGCGACATTTCAACATTGAACAGAAGAATGCCCAATTTTGCGGTTTGGTACGAAAGAAGGGCGAGAATCGGGGCTTACTCATGCATCAAATATGAAGAATTTTGATAAGAGAGTGTCCTTTTTCCGACCGAAACGTTTCGTCTGTCCATAGTTATCTTTTCACGAAAAACTGCTAGCGGTATGATCAGATTTCCATCACAACAGTCTGCACAGAGTTGCAGATGTGCAGTAGACAGGGAAAAAAGCTCGGGTGTGCGATATCGTAGCGATCAATACAGCAAACAAAAAAAGTCATTTATTTCGCTGTTTGCAGACCAACCTTTGGTTGCCATAACATTTGAGCTTGTCGCCTTCAGCGAACGCCCGGTTTTTGATCGAAAGTTTTGCACAGCGCTGCCCTTAGCCTATGCATATATCAAGTGTCAATGTTCATCCTTAGAGGGGTAAGGCCAGAGGGCCACAGTCTTTTAGCGTTGATCGATCCCGCTTGAGCTCTACGCCCTCGCATCCGACTTCAATTCAGAGTTCCCTAGAGGGGTACCCAGGAAAAACACCCAAGCGCGGTTAAGAGGGGCCCCTTAGCTATACACTTTACATCCTATTAATAAGAAATTATTTATTTGTTCAGCATCAATTTATTAAAAATTCCTGTTCTTTCCTAGAATCCTAGTTTCTAAAAAGGGATAAAAAGCCCTCTTTCATTGTTTAGCTCTGATACAGGGCTCTGAATAAATGCGATACTTCGCCATCAAACCTTCAATGCAAATACCTCCAAGCCTGACAACCTTTTTTGGTAATTCTATGCATAACTGCTTATCAATGAGTCGATCTCTCGGACTTTTCTATTCATGTTATCTACTTAAGATGTTTGAAAACATTTTTGAAAGATAACGTTCCCATCATATGGTTTGGAAAGGACAGTGTTCGCACACGTAACCTCCTGCGGTCTCTACCTTGATGCTATTTTTCCTGTTGTTTCTGAATATTTCGTGTCCTTTGTTGCTTCCTACGTTTCTTTTTTTTTTGTTTTTCTCGATTTTACCTCGTTAGTTCCTCTGGTTATTTTGATTTTTACTCACTGCAACGTGTTCCGTTCACTCTGTACATATGTGAGGAAGGATGGAATTGCAGCGATTTTTTGACCACATGTTAACCTCGTTCCTGAAATGATCAGAAGAAATGTTTTTCATTTTTCATCTCCAATGAGCGCAGCTCAGAATATACTCCTCTGCACCAAATGCAATCAATTCCTCCCAAATTTCGGTCGCCTTCAGAAATGGGGAAAGTGACTCGAAGAGATACTGTTGATATGAAATTCAGAAATGATCGTTAAGTATTTCACTGCTTTCCACAAAGGAAAGTTGTTAACAAGGTCCATTATGAAGGTCGTTAAAGAGAATAAGCGACAAGCTGAACTTTGCGTCACCAGTGTCTTTCAAATGTGGTACTGTAAGTAAAAACGACGTAAACTGTTTGATCTGGTCATTAGATTAAAGGCTGCGATAAAAGTAATGTACTTAAGGTGGATGATACAATCACAATTTGTCAATCATCTGCTTCAGGAAATAGTTTCATTTTGTGTTTACAAACTGCAATTGATGGTTTCTCCTTGTGATTGCTCTCATACACGAAGAAGTTGCAGTCCGAACGAAATAGACCAACCGCAGCGTCCTGGAACGTAATGGATGGAATCTTCATAACTCTACTCTGACTCATTGTACAGCCATGTCTGTCTGACCGCCTTCTGTCCATCTGAGGTTGGGAAGATATGTCATAAGCTCACAAACAGTCCCCCTCCCCTTTGAAGTCTGATGTGCTGTCACGTCGATGTCAAGCCTTTGGTGGAGATGAAGCAGAGCGGCATATGAAACGTAATTCTGAAATCGAGACCAATCATTGTCAAAATCCCCAAGAATGCAGACGTAGGCGATATGGGCATCTATCAGATATTGTGCTGGTTACGATTCATGCGATGCTCGATCAGATGAGATTTCTCTGAACCTTGAATGGGGGCACTACCTCGACAAAATTTTCCAGTGACGCTCAGGCTTGGGAGGAAATCAGAGCGAAGGTCAATGGTTGGCAGCTGCGCCAACCTCACTTTGCAGGCGACATCGTGCCTACACACCCTATTGGAGCAGGAGGGAAAGCTACTTTAACTGAACGGAGTTTCTGGAAGATCGGATCGCAGCTGAACCCAGTGGGAACGGTTCACAAGAAGGGTCTGTCTTGTCACTGTTTTTAATCTCTCTCGAACCTAACATTTCTGAGGTTTTTT